TACACCTTGTTATCTCAGATTCTCCAGCATCTGCAGTTCCTACTATCAATGACAATCAGTGCTCTTTCCATTATACATTCATAGGCATCTCTGGCTGGGCCAACATTTATTACCCTTGAAATGAGTGACATGCTAGACCTTTTCAGAGGGCAGTTAAGAGTCAACCACTTCTGAAAAAGAGACATCCAAGACTGGAAATATTAGCTCTGTTTCCCTCTCCACACATCCGGCCAAACCTGCTTTGTTTGTCCAGCATTTTCTGTGTTTCTTTCAGATTTCTGGCATCAGCGGTATTTTGCCTTTATCATAAGGGTCAACCATATTGCTGTAGGTCTGAAGTCACAATTAGGCCAGACCAGGTAAGTATCGGTGATTTCCTTCCCTAATGTGTAGGGATTTTCAAACAACAATTAAGAATGGTAACATGGTCACTATTATATTGTTATGCAGACTGGACAATCCAGATTGATTTTATTGGATTCAAATTGTACCATCTGCCATAGTGGGATTCAAACTCAGAACATTAGTGATTCTGCATTACTAGTCCAGAGACATTATCACTACACCACAATTTCTCTGACAATATCTTAATGGTCTAAATAGAGACTGTTATTTTCCATTGACATCTGATAACTAATTCATACATGGTATTTGCGGGAGAACCTGACTCCCTTCAGTCATCAAAAGAAGTCATACAAAATTATCCCAATCTGAACAAGTTTGATTCTTGCATCTTATGGATATGGCAGGATGCTGAATATTCTCAGCACAGTGGCTCAGTGGTTAGCACTGCTGCCGTATAGTGCCAGGGACCTAGGTTCAATTCCACCCTTGGGTGACTGTCTGTGTGGATGTTTGCACATTCTCCCCATATCTGGGTGCTCTGGTTTCCTCCCACAGTCCAAAGATGTGCAGGTTAAATGGATTGTCCATGCTATAGTGCCCAGAGATGTTTAGGTTAGGTGGGTTATACATGGGAAAATGCAGGTGTAGGGTAATGGGTCTGGGTGGGATGCTTTTCAGAGGGGCAGTGTGGATTTGTTGGGCCTAATGGCCTGTTTCCACACTGTAAGAGAGGGGGAAAAAAAACACTTAAGGACAGGGACTATCCATGCAAAAACTGTTGGAAGCAGAATTCAGAATAAATTCACAAAGGAAAGATGGATAAATATTTTAAAGAGAGTAAAATAGAAGTGTATAAAAAAAGGTTTGGGGGTTTGTTTGAGTAAGCAGAATTCTTTCAGAGAATGTGCAAAACATATTAGGCTTGAATAGCAACCCTACAGTGTGTGTGTGGTGGGAGGGTGGGCAGGCTGTTTAGCCCAGAATCCACAGGCACCTTCCTAAGAGCATCCCATACAAACCCATACCCATAAGCCTGCATTTCCCATGACTAATCCACTGAGCATGCAAACCTTTGAACTGTGGGAGGAAACCAGAGCACCTGGAGGAAACCAATGGAGACACAGGGAGAACATGTAAACTCCACAGAGACAGTAGCCCGAGGCTGTCAATTCTGTTGCCCAAAACACATCCTTTTCACCATGGATATTCAATCCGTCAATAACTCCAGCCTCCACCAGCGCAGCCAGAGAGTTTTCATCTATCCAGATTGGAGACCCAAACAATTTCATCCATTACCAACTCTGCCCAGCTGGACTTATTTTCTCCTTCAACTTCACGCACTTATAGAGATATAGAGTAATAGTCATACAGTATAAAAACAGAGCATTTTCTTCATTCACTTCAGATTACCAGTAATGGTAGCTGACAGAAAGAATTTTCTTCTTTTATGGTCAAGCTGAACGGTTCACACACAGTTCTGCTAATTTGAATAAAGGTGACCTTGGGCAAATTCTGCTTTGTTAAAATTTTAAACAGATCATTTTGAAAGGCAGCCTGCTTTTAGCAGTTTGAATGCTTCAAATAAGAAGGGTTTGCTATGGCTATGACATAGGTCACAGCTATGCCAGCTATGAACAATATATAGAACCTCGTTTGTTTCAGTTCTTCTTATGTTTCCCCAGTCCACCCCACTTCTTTTTCCATTATTATTGCTGGTTCCTGCTTTAGCTCTGAGCTAGAAAGTTCAATTAATTTAGGTTTCCATCCTAATCCCTCTTTTACCTTCACTCATCTCCAGCTGTTCCTTTCACTTCCTTAACCTGTCCCCAGAAATAGATACAGAGGTGATTTACCAATATTCACTATAGATCCACTGATTCCCATGTCTACCTCAACTACTGTCTTTCACAATCTGCTTCCTGTAAGAACTTTGTTCCATTCTGCCCAGTTTTACTATTTGCATCTAATCTGATAGGGGAGAGGCAATGGCCTAGTGGTATTATCACTGGACTGTTAATCCATAGACCAGATAACATTCTAGAGACCCAGGTTCAAATCCCACCACTACAGATGGTGGAATTTGAATCCAATAAAATATCTGAAATTAAGAATCTAATGATAACCATGAATCCATTGTAAATTGTTGTAAAAACCCATCTGGTTCACTAATGTGTTTTAGGGAAGTAAACTGCCATCTTTACCTGGTCTGGCCTACATGTGACTCCAGACCCACTGCAATGTGGTTGACTCTTAACTGCCCTCTGGGCAATTATGAATGGGCAATAAATGCTGCCTAGACAGTGATGCCCTCATCCTGTAAATAAATAAAGGAAAAAAATACTGATACCACAATCTATTATACTGTAATTATATATATTTAAGCAATATATTTCTATACAACCTTTTATACATGGAGGTGAGATGCAACATCAAGGCTACGTTTGACTGAGTGTAGCATCAAGGAGCCTGAGCAAAACTCATGTCAATGGGAATTATGGGGAAAACTCTCTGCTGCTTGATGGTTGTAGTTTTTAAGAGATCAGTCATCTCAGTTCAGGACATCTCTGCAGCAGTCACTCAGGCCAGTGTCCTAGGCCCAACCAATTCAGCTTCTTTATTCATGACCTTCCCTCCATCATCAGGTCAGAAATGGGGATGTGAGAAATGAGAAATGACACTCAGAAATGAGTGTCGCACAATGTTCAGCACCACTTGCAACTCCTCAGTTACTTAAACAGTCCATGTCCAAACGTAGTAAGACCTGGGCGATATCTAAACCTGGGCTGACCACATGGCAAGTGACATTTGTGTCACACAAGTGTCAGGCAGTGACCATCTCCAATTTGGCAAAATCTAACCATTTCAAATTGTAAATCAATGGCATTTCCATCACTGAATCCCTCATTTCAACAATTGAGAGGGGGGAGCGTGGGTATAACCATTGACCAGAGGCTGAACTTGATTCATCATAAATACAATGGCTACAACAACAGATCAGAGGCTAGGAATCCTGCAGTGAGTAACTCATCTCCTGACTCCCAAAAGCCTGTCTATCATCTACACAGCACTAGTCATTAGTGTGATGGAATACCCCCAACCTGCCTGGATGAGTGCAGCTCTAACAACACTCGAGGAGCTTGACACCATCCGGGACAAAACAGCCTGCTTGATAGGCATAAAAATTCACCCCGCCACCACTAATGCTTATTAGCGCCATTGTGTACCATCTATAAGATGCACTGCAGAAATCCACCAAAGCTCCTTAGACAGCACCTTCCAAACCCATGATCATTACTAAATAAAAACCAAAAGAACTGCAGATGCCGTAAATCAGGAACAAAAACAGAAACAGAAACTTTTCCAGCAACTTCTGTTTTTGTCCATGATCATTACCATCTGGAAGAACAAATATAGCAGGTTTACGGGGACACCACCACCTGCAAGCTCCTCTCCAAGCCACTCACCATCCTGTCTTGGAAATATATCACTGGTCCTTCAGTGTTGCTGGGTCAAAATCCTGGAACTTCCTCCCTAATGATATTGTCGGTCTACTAACACCACAAAACAGACTGCAGGAATTCAAGAAGGCAAGTCACCGCTACCATCTCTACAACAACCAGGAATGGGTAACAAAAGCTGATCCAGCCAGTAACGGGAACATCCATGAATGAATTTTTACAAAACCAGCATTTCTGAAGAAGGGTCCCGACCTGAAATGTCAAGTTTCCTGCTCCTCTGATGCTGCCTGGCCTGCTGTGTTCCTCCAGCTCCACTCTGTGTTACATCTTACAGGCTTCCCTTTTCCCTCAACCGTAGACTCTCTCCAGCATGCTTGACAGAGCCTGGATAATTATCATTAAATTTCCCGCACTTCTTGTCTCACATTCCTTTCCTTCCTTTTCAAGAACATGATAAGGTTCCATTGTCCTCACCGTCCAACTTCTCCATTTAACGAATCATGCACCTGTATCTCTGCCAGCTCTAGAATGATGCCACCACCAATTCCTCTCCCACCTCCTCTCGTTATTCAAATGTGATCATTTCCTCTATGACACTTTAATCTACTCTCCAACCAGCTGCAATATTCACTTCCCTTACTTTAGGAGCTATTGATGCACATAGAGGAGCTACAAATCTTGCCCTTTAATTCTATAAAAAAAAGCAAAGAACTGCAGATGTTGAAAATCAGAAACAAAAACACAAATAGCTGGAAACACTCAGTAGGTCTGCACCATTGTGGGAGAGAAAGCAGAATTTAGGTTTCAGGTCCAGTGACCATTCCTCAGAATTTAACGGAGTTCCTTCTTAACTGATTCCTTTCAGCATCTTGGTAGCAGCCTGGGACTCCTGTCAGGAGCTTCAGTGAAGTCTATGACTCTGTGTGGTGTTTTCTTCGGCGTCGTGGTGGGTCCAGCCCATGATTCCAACAGGGGGTCAAGTCCTCTAGTTCAGAGCTGTGAAATGGATTAAGTGAACTTTGTCTTAAATTCTCTTTTTTGAAATTTCTTTTTTGTTATTATTATTGTGAAAAGACTGCAATTCTGAACTTTTTATTTCTTTATTTTTCTAATTTATTACTATAATTTTGTACTTTTAATGACCTGTAATGCTGGACTTTTTATTTCTATATTTTTCTAATTTCTTTTTGTACCTAGGAGCCTTTATACTTAAGATGGCACTATAAGTGGCAAGCTGTAAACCTTTTCGCTGTACTCATGTGAGTACATGTGATCATCAAGGTAATTCAATTCAGTTCAATTCAATTCAATTTAGTTCTGTTCAACTCAATTTAGTGATTCACTCGTATTTCTCTCAGTCTGACATACTGTTTCTGCTGCTCAAAATGGTGTCCCCCTCTACAAAACGGAGATCAGACGCAGATTGCATGCTCATTGTAAAGAACACTTGGATTCAATCATGTTGTCATTATAATTCTACACCTCTCACTGAGTCAGACCTCTCATCATAGGCTTTATGCATTCCACCAGAGCTCACTGCAAGTTCAATGAGCAATACCTCATCTTTCCATTCAGTGCTTTACAGCCTTCTAAACTCAACACTGAGTTGGATAATTTTACATCCTAACCTCTGCTCCCATTTTGATTCTTTTTCCTTTTTAGGTTTTCTTTGTAACTTATTTTTCTTTTTGTTTTTGATTTTAGACAGCAGCTGTTCATCACTCTGCCATTTACACCTTCTCCATACACATTTTTTGTTTCCTGTACTTAGTCGTAAAGTCATAGAGCTGTACAGCATGGAAACAGGCCCTTCCATCCAACTCATCTAAGCCAACCAGGTATTCTAAATTAATCTATTCCCATTTGCTACCATTTGGCTCATATCACTCTAAAAGCCTTCTATTCATGTACCCATCCAGATGCCTTTTAAATGTTGTAACTGTATCAGCTTCCACCATTTCCTCAGGCAGCTCATTCCATACATGCATCACCCTCTGCATGAAAAAGTTGCTCCTTAGGTCCCTTTTAAATCTTTCCCCTCTCACCTTAAACCTATGCCCTGCAATTTTGGGCTCAGCTACCCTGGGGAAATGACCTTGGCTATTCACCCTATCTCAGCCCCTCATAATTTTATAAATGTCTATAAGTCACTCCTCAGCCTCCAATGCTCCAGGGAAAACAGTCCCAACCTATTCAGCCTTTGCCTATATCTCAAACCCTCCAACCCTGGCAATATGCTTGTAAATCTTTTCTGAACCCTTTCAAGTTTCACAACACCCTTCCTGTAGCAAGAAGGCCAGAATTGCTCACAGTATTCCAATTGTGGCCTAATCAATGTCCTGTACAGCTGCAACATGACTCACAACTCCTGTATTCAATTCATGACCAATAAAGGCAAGCATACATACGCCTTCTTCATTATCCTGTCTACCTACGACTCTACTTTCAAGGAACTATGAATCTGCACTCTGAGGTTTTTGTTCAGCAGTGCTCCCCCTAATTATCCCATTACTAATCACTTTCATCTTGCAATGTTAACTGTTTTGTTGTTTAAACTGTTAGACTTATAGAACACTTCCAGCACTTTTTGTTTTTATTTTTCAGGTCCGGCATCCGTATTATTTCTGAGCTCTAGTGAAAAGTCATCTAGACTCAGAATGTTAGCTTGCTTTCTCCCCATGGCTGCTGCCTGACCTTTTGTGATTTCCAGCCATTTTTGTTTTCAATACAAATTCCAGCATCTGCAACTATTTGCTCCTACTTTGTATTATTTCCTTTTGTGCATCATTGAATAGTTGATTGAATTCAGGTGCTATTTAAAACTCATTTAATTATGATAAGTAGGAATATAGGAACAGGAGTAGGCCATTCAGCCTCTCAAGCATGTTCTGCCATTTAATGAGGTCATGACTGATCTATGGCCCAACTCTATACAGCTGCCCTTGGCCCATATCCCTTATAAATTTGCTTTAAAAATTATCTATCTCAGATTTAAAATTAACGACTGATCTAGCATCAGATGCTGTTTATGGAAGAGTTTCTAAACCTCTGCAACTGGAAGCAACCAATGGAAAATTCAATGGGAAGTGGGACTCAACACTGGCGTCACTGTTGGCATTTCAGATGTCTGAGCCAGAAAGTTACTCATTTAAGTCCCACTTGAGAGACTCAAATGCGTTATCGTCACTGAAACGCTAGCACAGTACCGAGAAAGTGCTGCACGGCATCATGTGCTGCCTTTTAGATGTAGCAATAAATAGCAGGTGGTACCTTCTCCTGCAGGTGGAAAATAAAACCCTAACATACTGACAAATGAAGAATGGGTAGGTTTTTGGCCAAAATTTAGACCTCAACCAACATTAGCTGAAAAGATTATCTTGCTGTTATCTCACTGCTGCTTTTGGGAACTCGCTTTGCACTTTGTGAAAACATGTTCCCTGTGTTACCCTACTTCTAACTTTGAACACTCAAGCACTTTAGGATATCCTGATTCGTGAAAGATGCTTTACAAGTGGAAGTCTTTGTTTCTAACGTGTGCCCAGAAAGTAATGAGTGCCTCCAAATGCAATGACATTTGGGTGTGAAAACTCATTTTCATGAAATTGACCTAATTGGTTTAAAATGTTTCTCTATGCACAATTAAACATCTAGAACATCAAATCCACTTGAGATTGTGATTGTACAGCCTCTTGGAGAAAAATGGCATATACAACAGCGCTACCATTTGTTAATATCATGCTACTACATCAGAGATCCTTGGGCCAATCTCATGGCATGCAAATATGCAGAAAGTTCTGCAAATGAAATCTTCAATGATTCCTGCTACTTTGAAAAATTACATCCATTGCCATGTTTAATGTTAATTATGCTCACTTTCCTTTTCTGTTTACATTCCTCAATATTCAAACTGGCTTTTTCAGAGGATATCATTGGTCAAGAAACTGTAAAACAAAGGTGGAATGTGTTCTGGGTTGTTTTCGTAAAAGATTTCATTTCTCTCCCTAAAATCCATACATGTCTCACTAGAAAAAAACTACAAAAACTTGAACAAAAACAAAACTAAACCTATACAAAACTCCACCAACTACAAAATAAACTTTGATGGAGGGTGGAATCTTAAAGGGGGCTTGAAACACATGGGCAATGGTGATAATCGTCTGGTGAGGCCAATCTTGACATTGAGAGCAACTTGCTGCATCTTTTAAGCAAGGTCTGGGTGTATTGTGGCAAGTTGCCTATCAAGAGGGACCATTGCTTGTTACTTATCATATTAACTGCACATGTCACCTTATTAATATGCAGCTTCCTATCCTACCACCTGCCATGAGCAAACCAGATGCCAAGAATTCTCAATGTGCATGTCAGAACAAGTACCTTATGACCTTATCTCGGTGCTAGCTCCAAAGAACTAGCACGTTGCTCAGCATCTCAGAGTGCAATCATGGGCACTAGCCACAGATCCCCTTCATCCACACACATTGGCATCCAATATTTGCCAGTCCCTCAGGATCCACATGGCACTTCTCCGATCCACTTGCAGGATGTTTCAGAAGTAAAGACCTACATTGCAGGGCACACAAGGTACAAACACTGAAAAGCTGCTGCAAGAGCACTTCACACACATGGATTGTATATTTATTCATTCTAGTCTGCCAGTCTGTGAGGCTGTCTCCAGTTGCTCATCAGAGTTCCATTCTTAACATAATAGCACTTGAGATCTCTTTCAGCCTCAGCTTCCGTGTGAACTGATTGTGCTGACTACTTTAACTCCTATCCCTTTCTTTAAATAAAGTTTCATCTATTCTAACATCTGCTAGTGATATTACTTTGACTTCTGATGATGGACTTTATTTAGTCATGTCTCTGGAAATGGAAAACATACCTGGAACTGGTTATTGTAATTGTCCATCTCTTTAACTTGCAGCAAGTTTTCAGTAATTATGGGTGAAGCCATAACCTTGACTCCAGCCAAATCATTTCCTAGGCGTAATCAACTCTCTTTATAGGTTAATTTCTTAACTACTCCTATTAGCACTGTGCCAGATAACAAGTCACACTCAAATTGCACTTTATATAATGGAACTGGGATGTGATCTCCACATTCCATTCTTGAATAAAAAGTACTTACATTCATCATCTGCTGATCCAATGGAACCTTCTCCAAACTTAGTGAATCTTGGCAGATTAGAACCAATGCATAACTATCTTACTAGCCAGTTGTTTTAAGATCCAAGGACAAAGTCCATAAGGATCCATGGATTTCTCAGCCACAACTCCAACAATACTTGATACAAATTCTGTTATGATCGGAAGTTTCCTGAGTTCCTTTTTTCCTTCTACTTCCTGGGTTACAACTACTTCTGGAAGTTTTCTTGTGTCATCTATTGTGAAAACTGATGCAAAGGACATGTTCAATTTATTGACTATCTCTCTACTTTCAATTTTTAATTTGCCAGGCTCACTTTCTAAAGGACCAATGCACTTTTCTTTTCCCTTTTCTTTTACATATTTGTAGAAACTCTTACTATCTATTTCTATATTGCTGGCTAGCTGCTTCTTACTTGGCAGTAACAAAAGACTTGAAAATAAACAGGTCACTCATTAGACAAGTGCATGATTTTCTGTCAGTTTTGCACTACCACAACAATCCATTCCTTCATGTTTTGCACGGTTTTAAGTGAATTTGCTTTTAATCAGAGTTCATGTGGTCCCACCATCTTTATTACTCCGATTAATCTAGCAATTCAAAAAAAGCAAATGGAAATTGCTTAAACAAAAACTCTAAAGCAGAAAGTCTAGGCTTTGGTTAGTTGCCTTATCAAAAACTTTGTCATTCATTGTCATTCATTGTCATTATTCTTCTGTCTACGCAAGATGATGTGCATGCAGCGAATCCATTGACAGTGTGATTGTTTCAAATGGTGCACTTCTTATAATGGCAGAAGAGATTTATCCATGAAAAGCAGGTTCTACCACAGATGCTGTGTATAAGTCAGTTATCAGGCATCATTGTTGCTGTTTTCAGTGTTAGCACCTATTGCCAAATTGTTGCTCCCATTGACCATCATGGTGGTGCTTGCCAGCCCAAAAATAATGTCCTCATTTTCCTATTATTTTAACTTTCTCCTGATATGAAAATTAACATTAAAACCTCTGGGGTTACACTTGCAAGTTCTACATGTTCTACTAGTCTTCTGTCCCTGTAGCTACTCTACCATATGAAGAGTACTCTAGAATGTTCAACTTCCATCCTTAAAATGTATCCGAGCTAGTAAAGTTGCTTATGCTTGATGAGTGCCATCATATTTTTGAGATTTTCCTTTGAGAGTAAAATAACTCCACAGACACTGGTATCCCATCGCCAAGTCACCTTTCATTTACAAGTGGAAAGTCCTTGACACGGATCCAGTTGCCTCAGAGCCAGCTCTCAGAAATTCAGGATATCTGATGTTCCTATTTTTATCTGTCAGCTAGGGCTCCCTCATTGGATAAGATTAACAGGCCCAATCAGGGAACTCATATTCTATGAGTGTCACCCAGCTGACCTTGTTACAATCATTACAGAGAGCACTGCTCCATTTATGATTTTGTCCTGCTTTCAGATAATCATAACGCTTTGCACAATGTGAAAATGAATGTTGTTGAACTTCTTTTCTTGATAGCTGTCCTTCATCTGTGTTTCACTGCCATGCAACAGGAGTTCTTAGATGAAGATGTGTCACTATTCATTGTGAGCAGGATCTAATATCAAAGACAAGACGTCCTAAATTATTCCAATGATACTCAGTTTAAGCTCAGGAAACAGCACATTCTTTCAAGTAGGCTCATGCTGCATTCAACATTAAATTCAATATTTTTTGTACATAAGCTATCTCTGTGTTTTTGGATGGGAGTTATTCGTTCTACCTTTTCATTTATACCTCCTCTAGATAGATCTTTTGTAATGTTTGCAAGTCCCTGTTCTACATCTTTTTGCCTTTTTCTGTCATTCCTTTGTCATTGTCTCTCGTTAAACTATTGTGGAATTTCTCTTTTATTCTTTCTCCTGCAACCCCTTTCTCTGGTTAATTTAAAAATGTTTACACATCAGTGTACTCCCAGTTCTGATGAAAGGTCACCAATCTGAAAAGTTAGAGTTGTTTCTCTCTTCAGACTTGATGCCAGACTTGTGTATTTATGACGCCTTTCAAAATATGGAAAGGAGATAGAGGACTTGGTGACGTGGAGCAATGAGAACAACCTCTCTCTCAACGGTAGCAAGAATAAAGAACTGATCATTACTTTAGAAAGAAGGGAGGGGAACACTCCCCCCATCTACATCAACAATGCTGAGGTTGAGAGGGTGGAGAGTGTCAAGTTCCTAGGAATGATGATAACCGAAAACCTGTCCTGAACTTACCACATAGGGCATAATAACGCCTCTTCTTCCTTAGGCGGCTCAGGAAATTTGGCATACCTACAAGATCTCTCACCAACTTTTACAGATGAACCATTGAAAGCATACTGTCCTGGTGCATAATGGCCTGGTATGGTAACTGCTCTGCCCAGGACCCTAAGAAACTACAGAAGGTGGTGAGCACAGCCCAGACCATCACGGAAACCAACCTTCCACTCATGGACTCCATTTACATGGCTCACGGCTGTGGAAAAGCTACCACCATCATCAATGACCCATCGCACCCCAGTAATGACCTCCTACAACCTCCTCCATCAGGCAGAAGATACAAAAGCTTGAACACAAGCAACAGCAGATTCAGGAACAGCTTCTTCCTGGCCGTTATTAGACTGATGGATGGACTCTCTAACTTCAAATACAGCTGATCTTGCTAATGTTGATCTTGCCTAGCACATGCCCTGTGCGATGTAATTTATATACCTCTGTCTAAATATTTTTACCTCGATCTGTTATTGCTTATTATGAGTTGACTGTACTGCTCGTAAACAAAGCTTTTCACTGTATTTAGATACACCTGACAATAAATCAATCACCCAATCAATCAATCAATCAATCAATGTTTTGTTATTATTTTTAAAACCCAGTCTTTGTTAGAGGCCATGTGGTTGCCTACTCTAGACATCTGGGAGTTCAATGTGCAAATAATTTATTGACTACTGTTGCATTGTTTTGCAATGTGAATTAACTGAATTTTACAACAAACCAGCTAAAGTATCAATTTTAGAGAGTCTTGTGAGGGGTTTCTCTCCCCATGAACTTTAGCAGGTTTTTTCACAATATCTTCCCAAACTCACTTCATTACCAAAACCTTTCATCGTATTCTCCCATTTGCCACTGGTGGAAATATTGGCCACTACCAGGACCTGTGAGATTTCTGGTGCCAACACCTAAATTCAAGGCAACCTGTGCATCTGGTCAGGAACTGGCAGTCCTCAGCTGCCCTGGATGGTTCTTGTCCATTGCCCCACATATGTTTGACAAAGGGAAACTGGTTACCAGATTGGTTGCTGGAAGCCTGGAGGTCCTGGTTGACAGAGCTATGTGCACAGTTGCTGCCCGTGGGGCATGCCCTGAGATTTGGTTTCAGATGTCTAAAGTAGAGGGCTGGAGGAACAAGTGGTGAGCTGGAGTCTCCAGCTGACTTTTATTGACAATCGTTCTGACTTTCATGTAGGGTATTGTTGCCATCTAGTTTCTATACATGGATGGAAGATTTGGAAATTGCACATCAATGAGGTGAGATTGCATAATAATGAGTGCTAATGCATGCAAATAGACCTCTGACCATTCACTAGCGAAAATCTTCTTGTTGTACAACATTTTGTTAGAAAATGGGATATTCTGAAGAAGGTCCTTACCTGATACATCAACTTTCCTGCTACTCTGATACTGTCTGACCTGTTGTGTTTTTTTAGCTCCACATTGTGTTGTCTCTGTTTTCTGCTTTCAACATCTCTTTATGGCCTATCTTTCACAATTCTCTCAACTTTCTCGCCACTGCCCAAGTTGTTCACTGGTGGGGAATGTCTCATCAATTGTGTTCACACTCTTGGTCCTTTTCAGATTTATGGGGGCTCTTGTCACTCTCCCACTCCACAGAGTTGAGCATATAATCCAGGTTGATAGTTCACATTAGGGAGATGTGACACTTAAATATTGTACTGCAATCAGGTAGCAGTAAAAACTACCTTCATTCTCAAGTGGTGGATGGTAGAGCAGACTGTTCAGAACTCTAATTAATATATCAAACACTTCACTATACTTTTAAACCCAAATAAAAGTTCAAAAATAGTAGACAGGAGCAAGTGTTTACATTTAGAGCATAGATAAACTAAGTTGATCATTGAAACTTTAAAGTTATTATAAAACACAAGGAATATTTGGTTGCTACTTAGTCTGCAATTTATTTTTTAACTTACATGATATGAATTTCTTTGTGCCTATCTACAAAAATCTCTGGTACACCATGATCTGAGATATTAATAATCTGATTTGTCTCCATAAATTAATATTCTGCAAAAATTCACAATATGCACAATAATTCAATATGAATAAGTAGTCTAAGTAATAAGTTGCTTAAAGACCAACTATTCCCCTAGTGTTGATCACTGGGGGAATAGTGGGCCTTGACTGGCAATGTGCAGTCCTAGTGAGCTATTAATTTATTAAATAAACTAATCCATCTACCAATTACTATCCTAAGTTTTAGGAATAAATTACTGATAATGCTGCAGAACTTGAAAAACTAGAGACTTCCAATTGCTCTTCAAGCTACATGATGGATCTAAACTGGGATTTAGGAACTGTAAGACTCGCTGGAACTACCAAAAGGGCTGTAGAAAAGATTCTTAATCAATAAAAAGAGGAGATTTTCAGAGAGAAACACAAATAGAAAATAGCATAAAAATGGGAGCTTAGCTTGAAGATCCCAATGCTGCTATAATTAATATCTGAAAAAGAAACTGCAGGTTCTAAGAGTAAAAATAACAATGTAGCAATTAAAAATATAATGGAGATGATAAAAAAAACAAGAAATGTGAATAGATAAGACATGTTAAAACAATGAGAGTGCATAAGCACAGGCAGGGACTATTGTTAAAAGATAATATCTATACATGGATTTTGCAGCATAAGAAATTAATCAAATAAATTTGACCTTAAGCTCATCTAAAAGAATATTATATCATGGTTATCATTGAGACCCGGTTATAAACTAGCCATGACTGAGAGATAAATATTCCAGATTATGAAGTCGTTAGAAAGGATATCGACATCAGTGAAAGAGGAGGAATGTATAGTACATTAGCAGAGAGAAGGATGACCGGAAGGAAAATGGGTAACAGGAATGTTATGGGTAGAATTGAGAAACAGAAAAAGATGCAGGCTGTTATTGATAATGGATGCCCAGTAGCAGTCCTAAAATGAAGAGATAAGTAGACAAAGGGATGAGGAAAGCTTTTAGTTTGTTGGCAAACAAAAGACTAATCATAACAGGGAATTTGTGATCTGAGCATAAGGAAGCAAAATAATTCCAGACTTAAAAACAGCAATCTGGAACAGAATCAACACAAGAAATATCCATCATAGACTTAAATAAAGAGTATTGAGCCTGAATTAGCTAATAATTTAGGTGGACTGCAACGAGTCAAGAAGGCAGCTCACCACCATCTCCTCAAGGGCAACTACGGACAGGCAACAATTGTTGGCTAGCCAGCAACGCCACATCCCACAAAATGAATAATTTTTAAAAAAAATTAGTTGTAAGGGATCACTTAATTGACAATGACTATAATATTTTAGAGATAAATATTATGCTTCACAGGCATAATACTAAGTTTTAAGTTTGGATATGGCTAACTGTGGGCAGTTGAGATGAAACTTGATCGGTTTGCAATAGGTTGGATGGAATTTGTAACTGATCAAACAGAGAATGAACAATGGAAGTTGTTGACATGAACATCTGATACAAATACAATGTGTGTACTTACACCTGGTTTCCAAGAGTTTTCTTGTGTAATTAAATAATTTTGATCAGAAAGAGGTCAAAGTCTAAAACTTTTTCTCCCCAAGGAGCTGTGGCTGGGGCCAATTGCAGATGTCAAAACTGAAATTGATATATCTTTGTAGGCTAAATGTAATAAGGTTTGCAAAGCCGTGGCAAGTAATAGAGTTCAAATATAAATCAGTCACTATCTGACAGAATGGTGGTGGAACAGTCTCCAGGGCTGAATGTCCTTCTCCTGTTTCTGACAGAGATCACAAATTGCAGACACAGAAGTAGGCCATTCAGCCCATTGAGTCTGCTGTGCCATTCAATGATTTTTGATCTGTTAATTCTCAAATGTTCTTTCCTGCCTTCTCTCCAGAACCATTGATTCCCTCACTGATTAAAAAAAATATTCATCTCATTGGGGCTGACAAATGTCAAGCAACTTTCCCTATTAATAAGATGCAAATGCATGGATATAAGGTAGTCATCATTCATTTGTGACTTGCCACTTAAAGCTTAAGTGGAAAAAAATCTCAAATTGGGAATTTGCTTTTTTCATTCTTGATCTTTTCCCCCAACATTTTCACCATTGCCCATTGCCCACTCAACACCTGAGAAAATTCCACCTCATGTTTTTAACGATCTTCTCCTTGAATCTATCCATGCTATTCATCTCAATTACTCCATATTTCTCTTGATTGATCCTCTGGATCTTCTGGTGACATTTTACGTTGATTGTAGAGTAATTTGATGAACATCAGCTGCACATGGAGTGATATACTGATGATCCCAGAGAACCATGGTTAGGTTTGGAGAGCTGGAAGAGAGTGGAAGCTCTGACTTAACACTGTCAGAAGGTATGTATAATTCACACTATAAATAGACAGCCCTTGAAGATGGCTCCATGCACTCAAACTGCAGTAATGTGGGATTATTAGGCCCTAAACACACAACAAACGCTGATGACTCAAGTTTTGGATCCTCCAATAAATTGAAACAGTTTCTCTCTGTCAAACCTATGAGAAGCCTTCAGAATATTAAAGACATCCATCAGTTCATAGAAACATAGAAACATAGAATCATAGAGTGTAGAAGAGGCCCTTCAGCCAATTAAGTCTGTACTGCCAAAAATATGACTGTCTACACTAGTCCCACAGTCTTGAATGAGCATTTCAAATGCCCTTCCAAATTCACTTTAAAGATTATGAAATTTCCAGTCTGAAGTTTGCTCCAAGGCAGTGCCTTCCAGACCCTACCACCCTCTGGATGAAAAGATTATCCTCAAATTCAACTTTAAAATTATGCCCCCTTGTTATTGACTCTTCAACAAAGGGTTCATGCCCCTCATAATCTCATACAGCTCAATCAGGTCCCC